ACAAGGTGACAGACCGACTGCAAAGCCCCCTTCCGGACCCAGCAAGCAAAGCCTTCCTTGCGTGCTCGTGGCACCCAGGAACTGGCTGTCATTTTCACAAGTGGCATCCGATAATTCCAGAAGCTATGCCAGCAAGCCCAAACGGCCCCTTTGTCTTTTCATGCTTCTGGATTTGCTGGCTCCTAGAGATCCTCGCGTGGTAAGGAAGGAGGACAGGGCCCTCTCCGGAACCTGTGCACGTGAAGGATTTGCTCAGTACCCTCCGCTGCGGTTTCCTCGAAAGTGGAAACAAGTCAATCCACCGATCAGGTCGATGCATTTTATTTCTCTTCATCTCCTCCGTCAATAGCGTTTATAGATCCCGAGGACGAGAAAGAGGAGATGCTTTGCTCCGGCACTGGCCCTCCACCTGTAAACACGCAAACGCTCGCAGCCTCTTGGCACGGGTTTCCTGAGGAAACGGTGGGAGTTCCCATTCCTACGGCCATTCCTTATCCTGATTCTTAACAAATTTTTGCAAACACATGATATAAAATATAGCAGCTCAGAAGGCAAAGATGATATTGTAGACAATCCTATAGCTCCCCCCTCCCCCCTCAGCTAAGAATTAAGGATGGGAATCCTTCGAAGAATTGGAAACAAGAATCTCTGCCTGAGGGAGGGTCACGGGCCTGTGTCCTCTTCCCCCCACGGCAGGGCGGCTCCCAGGCAGCGCGCTCAGGGAATCAGAGCCCTGCACGGGATGCATCGAAAGCGCACCCTGATTTGATGGATCTGAGCTGTGAACCATTCCTCTATAAGGAAATCTAAAATGACTGAGGATATGGGGGTTGGAATGCACTGCAGAGCTAGGAGACAGAGAGCAGGGAAATAGTTGTGAGTTCAAAAAGCTTTTTGACATCTGCTGTTTTTTTTTTTTTTTTCCTTCTCTCTCAAAGACAGTGCAGAAAATGTGGCATTTCTTTCCATCTGATTCTAATCTGCACAAAGCCCCAGCACGGGGTCGGCACACAGTAGGCCCACTGCAGGGAGGCGCTGGAGGAATGGGTGTGAAGTTGTGTAATTATTTGGGACTGCGTAAGCACCTGCACTTTTTCCTTTATATTTTCATATGTTAAGCACCTGCCCCCCCACCCCCCACCCCACTTCCCTATTGGGGATGGAGGGACTTTTATTCTAAACAAAGGCTTGGTAGATCAAGGAATGTGTGTGTGTTTGTGTGTGTGCCTTGGAAGGGTACAGGATTACAGGATCCAGGGTCCTCTGCCCGCCTGGGCTCCTGAGGAAGGGGCAGCCGGAGCCCCGCCACCCTCTGGCGAGGGCACCAAGAGAGCGGAGAAATACTAGAGCAGGCCAGCTGCCGAAGCCGGGCGGGGTCTAGGGAGAGGTCAAGGTCGGCTATTGATCCGGCTTGGAACGCGAGACAGGGAGCGCAGCAAGACTAAAGGGGGAGCTGTGAGACCAGACATTAACAGCTTTCAGCGCTAATGATGCCCGTGCCAGACGGGCGGAGGGAAAAAAAGGAGACTGGAGCGGCAGCTGGGATTGCTCGCTGCCTGCACCCGGCCGCCTCTCGGGGGAGGAGGAGGAGGAGGAGAAGGAGGAGGGGGAGGAGAAGGAGGGCACAGGGGCCAGTGCCTCCTCTCCCGGGCCGCGACGAGGTGGGGCGCGCCGGCGGGCGGTGGCGTGTCCGGCCCTGCGCTGGCCCGCCCGCGCGTCCGTCCCTCTTCCCGCCGTCGGGCCGCGCGGGGCCAATGGGGAGGCCTCCTCCGTCCGCCGCCGTCCGGGCCGCCCCCCGCCCCCCACTTCCTGCCGCGGTGGGGCGGAGGTGCCCCCTCCCCAGACCTCCGGCCCGCGCGCCGGCGGAGGTGGCAGCTGCAGGGAGGCCGCTGCGCGCCCCGCGCAGTCCCCGTGGGGGCCTCTTTCTTGAAAACGGGGGGGGGGGGAGGGTGTACCCCATTCCCCCAGCCCCAGTCCCCTTCCTGGTAGCCAAGCCCCGGAGGGCGAGGGTTGAAGGTGGGGATTTGGGGCGCCCGGGCAGTGGGCAGGCGGGGCGGGCGGCGCGGAGCCCGGCCCCTGCGCTGTGACCTTGGGCAGGCGCGCGCCTTCCCTGGACCCCACCGCGCCCGTGGCTCCCCGAAAGGGGGCTTACTCCCCGCATTTCAGACCCCGGGCGAGTGAGGGGGGCCGGGGCGTGGTTTTGTTAAGTTTATGAAAGGCGCGTGTGGGCATCTCGCCTTGCTCAGGCCCCTCTCTGGGAGGGTTTTCGCTGCGGGGAGAGGGAGGGCGGCGCTCCCAGACTCCGGACCACGTGGAGGGGGGTGTGGGGTGTGGGCGGCGGGTGGTGGGCAGCTGCGCGCAGCCCTCGGGCTCGGGGTGGGGGATGCAGGCTCGCCCCTCCCCGTACCCCTCCTCCCCTCTGGGCCGGCGACCCTGCAGCCCATCTGACCACCTACATGCCAGGGCACATTTTATTGTTAATATTATTATTTTTTGAGTGGTTTGGGCAGGGAGCTCTTTCTCTCCTAGCCAATGGGCGCTGCGCTCGGTGGTTCAGTGGTTGGTACCGTCGCCCACTAAGACCTGGGGGCGGGGGGAGCGGGCGAACCGGGGCGCCCCCAAAGGAGCAGGCCCCGAGGGAGGCGGCGCGCCCGGAGGCGTCCCAGCCTGGCCCCGCGCGCCAAGGTGAGCTGCCCGGCCGCGCCTGGGGGCGGGGTGGGGCGGGGCGGGGTGGGTGCAGCGCGGCCAGCCTGCCAAGCCCGCCCCGGCCAGGCCCCGACCCGCCCAGGCCGCCTCCTGGCCCGGACGGAGGAGCCCTGAGAAGGGGGAGCGCTGCGGCCGCGTGGCCCGCCCAGTCCGGGGGCGCAGGTCCTCAGACAGGCGGCCAGCCGCGGCCTGGGCAGGGCTGGGAAGGGGATGCCCACAGCACCATGGCCTGACCGTGTCCCAGGGCCACGGTCAAACCCCTGACCCCCAGCCCCCTGGCCTCGCCGGCTGGAGATCAAGACAGCTGTGTCCTTCCCAGTGTGCCCCGGGGGGTTTTCAGGTCCGGCCCTGGGCCTGGGCGAGGGGCCCTGGGGTTGGGGGCAGCTTTTCTGCAGGTGGCAGGGATTGTCAGGGGGGAGGGGGCGGGAACTGGGGAGATCCGGCCACCCCTCCTTCTGGGTCAGCAGGGACAAGGTCCTGCCCCACGTGGAGCACCCCTGCCCAGGGGCCCCCACACTTCCCACAGGCCGTGACCTTGGAGGGAGGAGTGAGAGGGGCTGAGGTGGTGGGAGCACACGGACTGGGGTGTGTGTGTGAATACTATTTCCAGAATGAGGCTCAAACAAGGTCTCACGTTCCTCCTCCCCCAGTATGCTCTTCACTGACTTCTCTTAGTTTCTCTTATTTGTCCACTTCGCTGGACAAAAACATCAGGACGTATACGGAAACCCTTTTTTTTTTTCTTTTTGGAAGTTTAACCCCAATCCCCCAATAAAATAAAACAAGTAAAAACAAGCAAGCTCTTTTCCAGGGAGATAAGGAACTGACCATCCCCTCCAGCCGCGGGGCCCACCCCAACTCTCCAAGAACTTTTGGCGGGTGGGTGGGTGGGTGGGTGGATGCCTGCGTGGGGACTGGCCTTGGTTCAACTTGCACACACGCTGCACTCCGCCCCCTTCTCAGGGGGCCCTGCTCCCTGGAGGGGAGGAGGGGCATGAGGGTTTTCACATTTTATTTAAAAATCTCCTTCCTGCCCATCGTCTTCCCTCTTCCCTTGGCACAAGGGGAGGGGGGTCCTGACCCAAAGAGCCGCTTGCACGTGTGGCCGGCCTGGGCTGTGGCTGTGGTGTGCACATGGGCAGGAGTGTGTGTGTGTGTGTGTGTGTGTGTGTGTATGTGTGTGTGGTGTGGCGTGGCATGCTTTCTTGTTCTCTTGCAGGGTACAATGTTAAAAAGCCACCGCTAGTCGCCCCCAGTGCTCCGACTCTCTGGGTCTTTTTGTCTCTCTAGTGCAGATTAAACGTCACGTCCGCACTTGAACTTGAATTTTATCCCATTGTACAGAGGCAGCCCCAGCCACAGAGAGACCGAGAGCTCCCAGAGAACCAGGACTCCGCCATCTTCACGTTGCAACCTATAGCTCCCGGCCCGCGCCGCACCGACCCCGGCGCGCCGGGCCAGCCGCCCGCAGCCGCCCCCCGGGCCCGGGCGCCAGGGGAGCGGGGAGCGCTCGCGGGGACCCGCAGCCCCGGCCGGCGCCAGCTGCCAGGTGGACGGGAGAGGAGCCGCTCGCGGAGTCCCCCCAGATCCGCGCCGGGGTCAGCCTCCGAGAGGAAAGAAAAAGCAAAATAGGCAGCCCGCAGAAAACCCAGAAACAGCCGACCCGGGCAGTTTTACGTTGCTTTGGCTTTTTTTTTTTTTTTTTTGGAGGGGGCGGGGTGAGGGGGTACGAGACAAGTCCCCAAGTTTTCTTTCCTTTTTCTTCTTTTCTTTTTCTTTCTTTTTTTATTTGCATTTTTTTCTTGCCCCCGCTCCTGGCAGAAGTGCGCTTTCCACCCACCAGACCCCGGAAAGAAAGTGTCAGGAGCCGGTGCAAACCCCGGGTCAAGTCCAAGAAGAGGACCTCGGAAGTCCAGCGGGCCGAGCAGTGTGAAGAAGTGCAACGGATTTTCTTTTCCTTCCGAAGAATATATTTTAAGGAAACCAGCCCGTCCCCGGCAAGCAGCAGCAGCAGCAATTTTTTTTTTTTTTGCCTCTTTCTCCTATCGAGGTTTTTCTTCTCTTTTCCTTTTGCAAACAAAACAACAAGCAGCCTAGAAGAAAGAGCAACATAAAGAAGCGGAGGAGGAAGAGAGGGCAAGCGAGCCAGGGGGCAAGAACCAAAAGCACCGACCGGGGCCGAGGCGGCGGCGCGGCGGCGCGGCGGCAGGAGCAGCGGCGGCGGCGGCTCGGACCCTCCCCGGCTCCCCTCCCCGAGCGGCTCTGCGGGCGATGCCAGAATAGATGCCGGGGCAATGTCCCGCCGCAAGCAGGGCAACCCGCAGCACTTGTCCCAGCGGGAGCTCATCACCCGTAAGTGTCCGCGGAGCGCGCGGGGGCCGGGGCTCGGGGCGCCCGCGGCTGGGGACGCCGCGCCGGGGGCCGCCGGGCCGGGCCGGGCGCCGAGGCGGCCGGCGGAGGCAGCGGGCGGCCCGGAGCGTGGCGGCGGGGGGCGGGGGTCCGCGGGAAAGTTCCCCGCAGCCCGGGCGCCGGGCCTGGGAGCGGGCGCCGGGCCGGGCAGGGGCGCGCGGGCTGCCGGAGGCGGGTGTGCGCGCGGAGCCGGGCCGGACGCTCGGCCCTCCGAGCGGCGTGTGTGGCGGCGGCGGCGCTGGCGGCGGGGTTTGCAGGGGAGGGGGAGGGGGCCGGGGGAGCGGGGAGGAGGGGGAGGGGGAGCCGGGGAGCGGGGAAAAGTTGGCGAGCGCGTGGGTCCGCGCGGACGGCGCGGGCGGAGGGGAGCGGGGCGCGCTCCGGCCGCACCGGGGGGGACGCGGGGCGCTGGGCGGCCTCCGCCGCGGGCTCCGAGGAGGCCCGGGTCGCTGCGCCCCGCCGAGGCGGGCAGGCGGGCAGGCAGGGCTCCGGCCAAGCCGGTCCGAGGATCCTGGAGCCGCCGTCCTCACCCCTCCTCTCGCTGTTTGCAAAAGAATCCAGCTGCGCGGCGGTGTGCCGGCTCCTGCACCCCCTCCCCGTCTCCCCACCTCCGCACTCTCCCGGGATGATCTCTCCTTCTTCCCCCCTTCCTCCCCCCCCCCAAAAAAAAAACCAAAGTGGGGGTGGGGGCGATTGGGGGGGTGATGAAAAATCCCGCCACGGGGTGGTGGGGATGGGGGGGGCGCGCAAAGATTGTCAGCGAGGAGTGGGGAGCGAGGGATGTGCTTGTAAATTAGTAGTAAAAAAAAAAAAAAAGGAGAGAGAAAGAGAAAGAAAGAAAGAAGAAGAAGAAGAAAAGGAGACCTATCCGTCTCTTACCCATCCTTGTAGCCAGGAGCTTTCATCTCCTCTGTCTACATAAACAAGGCAGGTCGCAGTGCAAAGCCCGGGCTGCAGCCCGGCGGACCGGAGCCCGTGGCGGGCGGCGGGCGGAGAGGCTGCAGCGGCTCCCGGCGCCGAGCGGGGCCGGCGGAGGGAGAGCAGGGCCGGCGGGCGGGCGGGCCAGGTGCCGGGCCGGCGGCGGAGCTCGCCCGGTGCCCGCGCGGCTGCAGCGCGCCCGGCCCGGCCCGCCGCTGCTGGGCGGCGCGGGAACCTTCCCCTGCGGTCCTTCCTCTCGCGGTGCTTGGGCCGCTGTGGACACACACATATCCACATACATGCACAATTATACTGCAATAGAAAGGAAACGTCCTCGGGCTGCCATCGAGAGAGAGGCCGCGGGCAGGTTGCGTTCCTGAGATCCTCCGGGCGCCTCGCTCGCCCGCTCGCTGGGCTGGGGCCGCGCTGCCCGCGTGGAGGGAGCCGGGGAGAGCACTGCGCGCCCAGCTGCGGCGGCCGCCGCGGCTGAGGACTGGCTGCGGGGCAGCGGAGAGCCGAATATTTGTTATATTTTTAAAAATTTAAATAAATAAATAAATAAATAAATAAATAAATATATATATATATATAAAGGGGTTCTCCCCTCCCCTGAACACCCGGCGCAGGAACCATCTGCTCGGAGCAGTTGCTGCTGCCATCGCCGCTCCTTTGTTACGGCAGATACCTTCGTAAGAATTTGTGGATTTATTCTCATATTTTTTTTTTTGGGTGGGGAGGAAGGTAATAGATAATCAAAGTGGGGTTCACCTCGGGAGGGGGGTGCCCGGGAGGGAGGAGGGATGAGGACGCCTCTTTTATTTTGCACCATTCTGACAAGGAGGAGGAAGAGGAGGACTTCCCGGCTGCATTTAAAACAAGATGTTTGGCAGCGGGATTAGAGCTTGGCGGGACCCAGGTCCTCCTTCAGGCCGGTGGACGTTGCGCCTTTTACCGATAATCAATAATCAATCGCCTCTCACCCGAGGGTGGCGTGGTGGCTAGGATGTCTGCACTTGCAGACCGCTGGGTCTCTCCAGGAGGCAATTTGCTCGGCACAGCTTCTGGATAATTGCAAGAGTTGTTTTTGAGGAGGGGAAAGTTGGGGGGAGGGTGTCTGGGAAAGGGGGAGTCGTGGGGGGTGCATTGCTAAGCTGGCAGCTTCACAAAAGCAGCCAGGCGTGTTTGCAGTTGTGTGTCAGGGGGAAGAAGCAGGTAGGTCTGCGTGGCTGTTGCTCGCTCCCTCTCTGGCATTCCTGGGTGGAAGCTGGGGCCAGGACCGGTGGCAGCTGGGTGTGGGGGGGACCAGGGGCGCTTGGTGCAACATCCTTCCGTGTTTCATTTGTTCGCAGTCTCTCTGAGCCTCGCTCGGAGCGGTGCTGGGGAAAGCCAGCGCGGAGTTGGAGCCGTGGCAGGGAGAGGGAAAGGAGAGGCAGAGAAGGGAGGTGGGGATGAGGCCGCAAGAGGGCAAAGGGTATCCTGCTGGCCTCTCCCTCTGGGGCACAGGGAGACCTGAGCACCGGCAGGGTGTAAGCGGGGAGAGTGGTCCAACCAGTTCCCAGACTGGCTATTTATTACCCCAAAGCAGCTGGCTTTCTGTCTGTCCTGTGTCATGGGAGGTGGGAGCACAGGCCGGGGAAAGGCCAGAGCTGGGTGCCGTGTAGGCTGCACCGGTCTGTGCATGTGTCCCTCCACGACACCGGGGACCCGGCTGGGCGGTGGGCGTGCTTGGAGCCCTGGTCGGCAAAATGGGTGCTGCCACGGTCCCCCACCTATTGTGGACTGGAAATGTGAAAGGAGCCACCTACAGCGTGGTGCGGCTTCGGCTGGTGGCAGCCCGCCGGCCTGGGGAGCAGCAGCCTCGGTTCTGAGGGCCGGGGAGACTCCAAGAGCCCAGAAACGGCCTGGGTAATCTTGGGGTGTCAGGGGGTATGGTGGGGAGGGGGGTCAAAGGGCTCCATCCTGGGTTAGTTCAATGTGCAGACAGGACCCATGAGACGCGGAGGGAGGGACGAAGCGTGTGGGAGACAGCTGGGGACGGAAACCCAGGCTTCTGGGCTGTTTCGAAACGTTTGACCCACATGGATATGGCTTTTCAAACCGGGGGGGGGGGGACGGGACACGGACGCAGCAGCTATTCATCTCAAGACAAACATGAAACAAACACAGGGACCATCGTGACGAGGGGAGGAAGAGCGGCCGGCATGGCCAGGCCGAGGGAAGGGCCTGGAGCCCGTGGTGCCTGCACCCGGGGCGAGAGGCAGGGGGAGAAGCCGGGCACGAGCACCCGTCCACGAGGAGCTGAGGTGCTCCGAGACGCGAAGGTGCCGGTGGTGGCGAATTGCATCACCCCAGGAAGGGTGAGAGCTCACCAGCCCACCAACAGGTTTTCGAGCGAATTTCCGTGGGAAGTCACGGTTTTTGTGCAACAGCCGGAGACCCGAGATCCGACTTGGAAGTTCGGCCGCGTGGATTCCGTGGCTGCCTCGGCCCCCGGCTTTGCTGTAGCTGCGTGTTGGGGAGGCGGCCGAGGACCCTCACCCCCTCAGGGTATGGTTGTCTGTCTCCGGTCGTCCACAGACCTCTCAGAATGGGCCTCTGGCACATGGCACAAGCTCCAGGCCCCTCTTTTTTTGTTATTTTATTTTTTATTTTTTTGGTCGTTGGTGGGGGGCAGGGAAGTCTGCCTCCCTTCCGCACAGAAGGAAACCCCGTATCATTAGACGTGTGACAGAAGTCAGCTGCTCCGATTCCACGGGAGAATAAAAATGTGTTCGCCCAAGGTGTGATGCCGGGCTGGTTTTATTCATTTGCAATTCACACCTGAGAGGAAACAGCCGGGGGCCTATTTTAACAGCCCCTAATATTTTTAAAGGGTCTTGTCTCCTCCCAGAGAGTATGCACAGATGCCTGGTTTTTTGTTGTTGTTGGTTTTTTTTTTTTTTTAGGGGAAGAGGTTGCTACCTGTCTGCGCTCTGGCCTCGGTGGTTTTTGTCTGGCCTTTCAACAGATTTCCTAACAGAAAACGAGCCATTTCTTATGGGCTGGCGAGAACCGGCCCCAGGAGCAGGGGGAAAGGCTGAGGGTGGAGGGGGCCGAGGCGAGGCTTTGCTGACCACCGTGCGGGACCCAAGGGGTCCTCGGGACGGAGGCCACGGCCCGCTGTGGGTGCCTTTGGCAGGCATTAGCATCACGTCTCCGGGAGATGGAGCAGGCAGGAGAGAGCCGTTTCCCGGCGCCCAGCGCCTTATCAGCTCTCGGCGCTGCCTGTTCGCTCAGAACGCGGCCTGCACTAGCCGTCCCCCCCTTTTTCCCTTTTCATCTCCCTTCTCCATCGCTTTGCCATCTCTGCTGCTTGTTGTGATAAAAGACTTTCCAAAATAAACTTTCAGTTGCATCGGCTTCTGCTGGATGACAAGCCCGCGGCGCCGAGCCCGCGCGTGGCGCCGCGCGGCAGCTAGGGGGCGCTCGGCGCCCGTGTCATGTCCCGGCCGCCTCCGCTGCAATGGCGAGGAATGGGCTTCCGCAGGCGGCTCAGGCTCTGGACGCTGCTGCTGCTGCTGCTGCTGCAGCAAAAATGTCTTAAGTGTGAAGTTGTAATATTGATTTTCCCTGCGGAGATCCGAGCAGGGCAGGAGGAGAGGATAAGTTTGAGAAATCTATTGCCAAGCCATCAGCATTGATTTACAAGCCCTCTTTTGGCAGGTGGGGGCACTTCTCTTTCTCTCTCTCTCTCCTTCTCTCTCTCTCTCTCTCTCTCTCTCTCTCTCTCTCTCTCTCTCTCTCTCTCTCTCCTCTCTCTTTAAACAAACAATTAAAAAGGGTTCGTTTTGAAGGGTGTGTTTCCCCCGATGAGTCTGTGGTCTTGACTTTCTGAAAACCTCCCCCTCAGCTGCCGAGGCCTGCCTGACCCGGCGAGGGGGTCACGCTGTCCCTCTCTAAGCAGCACGCCCCGGAGGCAGGGGACAGCTGAGGACCGCTGCTGTGGGGAGTCGTCATGTACCCCAAAACGGCATGCTGAGTGGACGTCC